GTCTCAAATCAGATAGATTTCAAAGCAAGCTTAGAGTCTCTAACCTTCAAACAAAGAACAGGACCAGAAACAGACACAGATTCAGTTCCCCAGTGGTTCACCAAGATGAAGGTCATAAGCCTTCACATCACAATGCAAAACCAAAGGTTTACACTGGTAAAGGGGGACATCAACAAGTTACAGAAACAACCACAAAAGAAAACTTAGAACAGATCTGCAAAACAGTTCTTACAGAGCTACTGGCTTCTCTGACCAATCACAAGGTACCACAATTCCAAGCTAATGGTAAAACTTATCATATCCAAGAGTATGATAGTTGCTGATAATTTCTAACATACTTTAACCTGTTTTATCCTTTCTTTCTTTTGTTTCACAACTTGAGAAATGATGAAGGTTGAACAACAGCATCATGAAGGTGTTAGGAAATTTTGTTTGGAATGTATATATTTGTGTATCAGGGTCAGACTTTCCTGCCAGACCTGCTTCAACCAGACGCAAAACCTCTGGAGAAAATGAACTGTTTTATGATAAGATAGGGTCAGCTTCTGCCAGACCTGTAACAAATCCTCCAGGGACAAACACTGGAGAAGATACAAACCCTAAATGAACTTTCTTCCTGCAAACAGGAACCTGACTCATCACCGCTCCAGATATCATGGCTTTATGGACTTATTTGTTGATCTGAAAACAAAGAACTGCATCTTTTATTTCCAGATCAAAAGGGGGATATGTTATGCCATTTGCCATGATCATACTTTTTGGACATTGGGAAGCAGTGTCCATATTTCATCCTGATAGGATGACCAGAGAAGAAAACGCAGCTTTGGTGAATAACAACTGGGGGACTTCTGCAGCCCCCCTTTTTCAGCCAAAGCAGCCACAAGCAGTCACATGGAAGTCACAGAGGTGTGAAAACCTACCCCCCTCCCTGTGAGAACAGAACAAAACCACAGAGCACACAGGATTCTCTCTCTCTTTTGGCCTCTTCACCCTTTTTCTCCCTCTTCTGATCCAGCCTGCTTCTGCTCCTGCTCTCAAAGCTGGGGCCCACTGTGGCCCACAGTGGAGATGCAGGCCCCAGGGAACCAGATCCCCAGAACCATCAAGGATGAGTCAGAACTCTTCAGAACCTAACTGCTGCAAACAGAACTTTTGCAACACATTTCTCTTGAGTTTCAGAACTTACAGAGCCAAACTGGATGAGGAGCATGCCCTGGTGTGAGACTGAGAGGACCCCTGCTGTGAGACTGAGACAATGAGTCCCTGACTGCAGAGCTGCAAAACTGGATGAAACTCAAGCTTTCCAAATGGACATGGAAAAAGGTTTGCAGGTCTGGCATGATTAGGGACAGGAAAAGCAATATGTCTTTTGATGATGCTAATCATATCGTGTGTTTACTGCTGAGTAAAGACAACGCTAATTGATGCTAAAGAATGGACTGCATGCTATGCTATGCTACAGGAATATGTGTTGAGCTGTTGCTAAAGCTTAGACAAGCTTTATTCACTAAGGATTTAACACTGATAGAACATTAGTGTTCACGTGTTCCTCAAATGCTCATTACATTTCCATTGCCAAGTATGACCAAGAGTCATTTAGTGGAATCCCGATGTCTATTCGCTGCTAGCTATTTCAAAGAGGGTAAAGAATCATTTAGCTAAAGGTTATTGATTCTTGATTAAGCAAATCATTCAATAGAACATTAGTTGGCCAAATAATGTTTTATTCACCTCATGGATTTGCATTGTGAATTGGTCTGAAAACATTCCAATTTCTTTAAAATTAGTGAAAAGCTAATTTGATCACATTCCAAATTATTCCAGATAAACATTGGTTTCAAACACAGAATCCATCTTAAACTGTAATATGTTTTTCAACCGTTTTCCCCTTCCTCTTTGTACATAGTAGTTAGTTTAGTTTAGTTGAGTTTTACTAGTCTTAGTTGAGAGTGTTAAACTGAAATATGTTTGACTTGGAGCTGAATGGTTTTTGTTAATAAAATCTTATATTTTGAACAGAAGTTGTGGTGAATTTATTCCATGTATGTGCAGAAATAACTGTTTGACCATGATTAGTGCTCGAATCACTCTTTCATCTATTGTTCTAACACACAGTTAGTAGGACTGTGTGTCATAAACAGTATATAACAGCTGAAATAATATCTGATTAAATAAGATATTTTACCACCCCTACAGGGGAGGGCAATAAACATCTTAAAGTATCAGAAACATAAATTCCCAGCGGGCTGGGAATAGAATTTAACTATAGAATCACAACAGAGATTATAACCAGGGCAGCCATTGTCTGGGGTTCCCCAGAGAGCTCGGGCCCTAGGCAGTTGCTTGCCTTGTTGTAACGGGCCTGAATGTTATGAATAAGGCTGAGAAAGAGTCTGGCTTGTTATGACAAGGATTTTTTTTTTACCGCAAACAATCCCAAATAGGATAAAACTATCTCCTCTCACTCAGACACAGTTTAGCCTTGCAGCTATGAGTCCTGAGTGAATAAATTTAAAAATTAATAAAATTATTAAGGAGAGATTCTAAATTGATGTTTTCCCATGTCAGACCAAGAATACATGCCAATTTCTTAAATATCATATATAGCTTAGATTTCACAGTCATCATGAGCAATGAAAACGTTGTATTTGGTGTAAGATGGTGGGATCTAGCAGTGCTCTGTTGTGATTTTATGTTAAATTCTCTTCCTAGCCAGCTGGGAATTTATATTTCTGATACTTTAAGATGTTTATTGCCCTCTCCGGTAGGGGTTGTAAAATATCTTATTTAATCAGATATTATTTCAGCTGTTATATACTGTTTATGACACACAGTCCTACTAACTGTGTGTTAGAACAATAGATGAAAGAGTGATTCGAGCACTAATCATGGTCAAACAATGCTGCACATACATGGAATAAATTCACCACAACTTCTGTTCAATATATAAGAGTTTATTAACAAATATTAACAATATTATAATATGATCAAATTAGCTTTTCACTAATTAATAATTGGAATGTTTTCAGACCAATTCACAATGCAATTTGATGAGGTGAATAAAACATTATTTGGCCAAATAATGTTTTATTTAATGATTTGCTTAATCAAGAACCAAAAACCTTTAGTTAAATGATTCTTTACCCTCTTTGAAATAGCTAGCAGCAATAGGCATCAGATTCCACTAAATGATTCTTCGTCATAGTTGGTAATGGAAATGTAATGACCATTTGAGGAACACATGAACACTAATGTTATATCAGTGTTTAACCCTTAGTGAATAAAGCTTGTCCAAGCTTCAGCAACAGGTCAACACGCATTCCTGTAGCATAGTGTAGCATGCAGTCTATTCTTTAGCATCAATTAGCGTAGTCTTTACTCAGCAGTAAACACGTGATATGATTAGTATCATTAAAAGACATATTGTTTGTTCTGTCCCTAATCATGCCAGACCTGCAAACCTTTTTCCATGTCCATTTGGAAAACCTGAGTTTTATCCATTTGCAGCTCTGCAGTCAGGGCACAGCAGGAGTTCTTTGTCTCAGTCGTTCATCAGGCAGTCCTTCTCTCATCCAGTCTGGCTCTGTAAGTTCTGAAACTCAAGAGAAATTCAGTGTATTCTCATTATGAGTTTGTATGAAATCGTACAAAAAGTTATGCACCGTAATTTCGTACATTTTGGACGTTTTTTTCGTCGTATGCGCATGCACATCTGACGCACCATTCACAAATATAGAATATAAATTACAATTAGCCCTAACCCTGACCTTAAGATATAAAACAGCAAGCAATGTAGTTAGAGACATGAATAAGTGATGATTGCACTGTTTTTCCCAGTTTTACGTCCGTCCGCGCACTGATGTGGTTTTTTGAGGAAAAACGTCCAAAACGTATGAAATAGTGTGCATAACTTTTCGCACGATTTCATACGAACTGATAATGAGTATATGTTGAGAAATTTGTTGCAAAAGGTCTGTTGTGCAGCAGTTTGGTTCTGAAAGGTTCTGACTTATCCTTGATGGTTCTGGAGATCTGGTTCCCATCTCCGCATCTCCACTGCGGACCCCAGCTTCATGGGCAAGGGGGAGGAGGCAAAGAGAGCTGGAGCCAAAGGGTGAGGAGGCAAAAGAGGCAAAAAAAAGGGAGAGGGAGAATCCTGTGTGCTCTTTGGTTTTGTCTGTCTTCACAGAGAGGGGGGTAGGTTTTCACACCTCTGGTTGCTTGCATGTGACTTGCCTGTGGAGGTTTTGTTGCAGAGATTCCACAGCTGATTCCACATCACCATGTCAAGGTGAAATATGGACACTGGTTCCCAATGTCCAAAAAGTATGATCATGGCTTATGGCATAACAGCTCTGCTCGCTCTTGTTGCTTAAATTCACATGCATTGTGATGTCTGAGTAGGTTAAGATTAAGATAATAAGGAGCAACTATAAGTATATATTTTGTCTTCACAAAAACTACCGAATCTCGAGCTTTTCCCCAATACAATTAGTCAAGGCCTGACAAATCCAGACCATCACCAGCTGAGATCAATCTGAAGACTGGGAAAATAACAGGTCGGAACTGTTCTAGAGACCAAAACTGGTCTCTGGACAAAGAGTGGTCTCTAGACCTCCATCTCAGTCAAGGATAAAGATCATACATGATCATGAAAAGCTGACATAATACTTAGTACATTAATCTACTTTAAAAATAACCATTAGCAGCAGCCCATTTCTACTTGTACTGTAAGGAGTAGCTCCTACTAAGATTCTATGCCCCAACATCATCTATGATATACCGGCACCAATATGGGGGAAAAATATTACTTTAGGTGTTGCAAAAAAGTAATAATAACATATTCCCAAGAAATGAGTCTTGTTGAAGTAAAATAAAAGAAGACTGGTCAGACTAAAGTTTGGATTAATAGGTAAAGGTGAAAAAAACTAAATAATAACAAAATTTACAAATTCACTTAATATGACTAGATGAAGACAGAATAGACCATATACATTATATTGTTTTCATGCTTCAAAAGTTTATTTAATGCAAGGCTAAAGAAAAGAAGAAGGTTTTACTTAAATCACCACTTATAAAACATTCACTCTGCTCTAATCTAACTGTTGTTTATGTGTGGGTTATTCTACTGTTAGAAAAAGGAGAAATTATATGAAGTAAAAGAAGAAATAGCTTTTAGAAAATAGGATTTCTATGTGGCAGAATAACTGAAATACACTATAGCATCCTCCACCAGTTCTGGTTCACTGTTTTTTACACCAGAAAAAGGCTTCCTCTCGGACTGCTCAGGCTTTCTTGGCACAGACAGATGGGCGACGTTCCCCACATTGTCGGTCATTCCAGCACTTTGCAGCTAAGCACAAGAAAAAAAAAATCTGTAAGTATCACAGAAACCAAATCCTGTTTACAAAGAACTATGATTGTAGGGAAGCTTGATATTCTACAACCGTTTTCCCAAGCAAAACCACGAAAAAAACAACAATATATGCCCCTGTATTTAATCCAGTAAATGTAATAGTGTTCTAGCTAAAGTTTTACTAACATAGTTAACCTAACCGGCAACTCCGGAGGGGAAAGCAGTGCTTCACTAAAACTGTTTTCAGTGGGAGTGGGGAGCTGCTGACCTTGAAGGAGGATATTGTCGGGCGGTGGAAGGAATACTTTGAGGATCTCCTCAATCCGACAGACACGCCTTCCGTGGGGGAAGAAGAGACGGGGTGCTTGGGGCTGGATTCGTTCATCACCCAGGCTGAAGTCACCGAGGTGGTCAAAAAACTCCACGGTGGCAAGGCTTTGGGGGTGGACGAGATCCGTCCTGAGTATCTTATAGCTCTGGATGTTGTCAGGCTGTCATGGCTGACAAGTCTCTTCAACATCGCGTGGAGGTCGGGGACAGTTCCCCTGGATTGGCAGACTGGGGTGGTGGTTCCCCTCCACATGAAGGGGGACCGGAGGGTGTGTTCTAACTATCGGGGAATCACACTTCTCAGCCTCCCCGGAAAGGCCTATGCCAGGGTGCTGGAGAGGAGAGTCCGGCTGATTGTCGAACCTCGGCTACAGGAGGAGCAGTGTGGTTTTTGTCCTGGCTGTGGAACAGTGTACCAGCTCTACACCCTCTGCAGGGTGCTTGAGGGTTCATGGGAGTTTGCCCAACCAGTCCACATGTGTTTTGTGGACTTGGAGAAGGCATTCGACCGTGTCCCTCGTGTTGCCCTGTGCGGGGTGCTCCAGGAGTATGGAGTCGGGGGCCCTTTATTAGGGGCCATCCGTTCTCTGTACAAGCCGAGCAGGAGTCTGGTTCGCATTGCCGGCATTAATTCGGACCTGTTCCCAGTGCATGTTGGACTCCGACAGGGCTGCCCTCTGTCACTGGTCCTGTTCATAACTTTTATGGACAGGATTTCTAGGGACAGCCAAGGACCGAAGGGTCTGGTTTGGGGACCAGTGGATCTCGTCCCTGCTATTTGCGGATGACGTAGTTCTGCTGGCTCCCTGCGCTGGGGCAGTTCGCAGCCGAGTGGGAAGCGGCTGGGATGAAAATAAGCTCCTCAAAGTCTGAGGTCATGGTTCTCGACAAGAAAACGGTGGCTCGTCCCCTTCAGGTTGGAGGAGAGTCCTTGCCTCAAGTGGAGGAGGTCAATTATCTTGGGGTCCTGTTCACGAGTGAGGGAAGAATGGAGCGGGAGATCAATAGACGGATCGGTGCAGCTGCTGCAATAATGCGGATGCTGCACCGGTCTGTCGTGGTGAAGAGAGAGCTGAGCGAAAAGGCAAAGCTCTCAATTTACCGGTCGGTCTATGTTCCTACCCTCACCTATAATCATGCAATCTTGATCATGACTGAAAGAACGAGATCCAGGGATACAAGCGGATGAAATTAGCTTTCTCCGCAGGGTGGCTGGGCTCTCCCTTAGAGATAGGGTGAGGAGCTCGGGCATTCGGGAGAGGCTCAGTGTAGAGCCGGTTCTCCTCCACATCATAAAGAGTCAGTTGAGGTGGCTCGGACATCTACTTCGGATGCCCCTTGGACGCCTCCCTCGGGAGGTGTTCCAGGCATGTCCCACCAGGAGGAGGCCCAGGGGTCGACCCAGGACACGCTGGAGAGACTATGTCTCTCGGCTGGCCTGGGAGCGACTAGGGCTTCCCCCAACAGAGCTGGAGGAGGTGTCTGTGGAGAGGGAAGTCTGGGAGTCTCTGCTTAGTCTTCTGCCCCCGCGACCCGGTTCCGGATAAAGCAGGAGGCGACGAGAACGACGACGAGTAGTTAACCTGGTAATAACCCTTTACTCCGTTAACTGCTTGAAAAACATACACTTATGTGTGATATTTTCTTTTACCATCAAGGTTAATCTCCAAACAGTGCTGTCCGCGTCCCAAATTGTTAGGCTGTCCTCGACACCAGTTTGTGTAGTGGAATTGGCTTCCATCGCTCCAAAGCCAAATGCTTGTCTGAAAGAAAGAACCCAGCAGATTATAAACGTCTTTCAATCATTGATCAAAATACTTCACAAATAAACTAACTACTAAAAAAATACCTTCTGTGCATTACTGCCTCCAACCCATGTAAGTCCGGACCCATAAGTTGCCATTCTTATCACATTCTGAATCTGATGGTACTCCCTTAGGTTATGAACTGATGCCAGGTGTCCCCCCATGGACATGCAGTGCTTCTGCAGACAAGAAACAGAATGATGTACAGAAGTAGTAGCTGCATTTTTTTTTATTAACAACAATAAGATAAGAGAGTAAAACAGCATAAGAGCAGAATGTTATTGAAAATCACCTCAGCTGAAGCCCAATCCAAGGGCATGGAAACATAGTGGTAGCAGTTACCGTTGTACTCAGACCAGCCAGAAGAACAAGAAGCAGATCTCTGGACCAAGTCCATTGGATCTAAAGACAAACAAATGGAGATCCTTAGTTAAAAGCAATGTATTTCAGCATTAGAATAAACTTTATTCTTCATGATCCTATTACAAAACAACACTCACTGACCTTCATCAGCAGAGCCATCATTTGGAACAGCTGTGGGCATTTTAAACATCAGGAATTAGTGAGTTTGTTTGAGTCTTAGTAACTTTACAAACTCTGTATACTTGAGAAATGCTTACGATCAGCTCCGGCCCATGCCATCTCAGAGAAAACCAGGACACACAAAACCAGCAACTTCATGATGGAAGTGATGAGATGATGCAGATATACAAGCTGAAATTAATGAAAAATAAGTTAGTTGATGTTGTTATGAACATGTAAACACACCAGTGAGTGAAATAGAAGAGCAGAGAGTCGATCAGCAAACCTGATTCAGAATGGTTTGTTTTCTTCGTCTGCCAGGACCACCTAGGGCTCAATGTGCCATCCCAGGCTTCTTATAGAGCTACTAACCTTTTCGTCATCCAAAAAATAAGGAAATGACTCAGAAACTAATTCCACAGAATAGAATTACATGATCAGATCTGGTTTGTAACCTGTGTCACAATTTACCAAAGACCAAAACCCCCCACATTACCATTTATGGCTGTCATGGCTGTGAAAGTTGCAACAACTCAGTGAGAACTTTTTTATAAAAAGTGGTGCCTAAAGGCCATTTGAGGCCCTCTGGGACTTTTCCGTAGCTCTTGATTGCTATTAAGAATTGTTTGAATTAGGTTTCCCATTGATACACATTTAAGAAATGTATTAGGGTGTTATTTTTATTTAGAAAAGAATGCAGGGAAATTACATCCTCCCTACAATGAGGTGAAGCACATATTTTTCACCTTCTCTCAGTCATATCTTTGCTTGTGGTTTTATTCAGTTGCAAATGCAACAAAAATCCAGTGGCATTCACAGAAGAACTGACTTTTTTAGGCTGATTTAATAAAGTCAAAGATTTGAAGCAAGATAGTGCATGTTCATAAAAGACACACAAAATATGGAACAAAAATCAATCTATATTCTGTGTATTTTTATGTCATTTTCACCAGGACATCCAAAATACTTTTATATTTGAATTTGCAGATCCCTGCCTTAGCATTTTATCTGAAACGCTTCGGGATGTTTAAATTCAATGAAAATTGGCTATCCAGCCAACAGTTTTTTGCATTTCTAAAACCAGTACTAGGGAATGTATATGAGGTACAGTGTGTTTTGTGCAAATAGTCATTCAAGCTCAGCATGATTCGAATCAAGACATTGGAGTTCAACATGCAAAGCGTGAAACACAAATAGTCAAACTCAAGTTGTTGAGAAGCAGCAGATATTCTCAATTATGTTCCAACCTTGTCTCTGAAATGCCTCCATTGCCATCTCTAACATCAACAACAGTGCCAGTTGCACCAAATCTGTGAATAATATTTGGTGATACACCTACAATGCAAGCAGAGCCATTGTGGACTTTCTTCTTTTATGGAAAGTTTTTAAAAATTTGAACCTGGAGAAGACAATATATTTTGGATGAACCCATACCTCCTGTGGTGCATCCTTGCAGAAAAATCCCATACAATCTGTGGAAAAAAATTCAACTGTGAACTGGTGCTCATTGAAAGGCTAGGGGTTTATCAAGAAAATACATGAATGAATTAAAAGGGTCATCTCACTGATGGTTGTGCAAAAACAAAATAGGGACAAAACAAATACAGAGAGAGACAAATGCAGTTGAAACTATGAAAGAACTCAAGAGCATAATACACACCTTTCCAGAAAAAAAACAATTGTCCCACAAAGATACAAGACTACTGGAACTGCAGAGCAGAGCTCACTGTGGTGAATGAAATAGAGTTGAAGGGGAGTAAATTTGTTTTTCCTTCTTCACTACTTCAATCAGATGCTACAAAATATACAGGTGGGTACCTGGAGGAAGTCAAGTGTAAAACGCTGAACAAGAGAAGTAATGTACTGGCCGGGAATCAACCAAGATATCAGCCGGACAACAGCATCATGTGAGCTTTGTCTCACACACCGGCAAAAAACAACAAGCGGAGCCACTCATGACTCATCTGGTGCCCCACAGACCTTAGTACACGGTTGGTACTGAGTAATTTGACTTTTTTTGTAGATTCTGAATCATCCAGGTCATATTCATTCCAACAAAATAAAAAATAAAAAAGTAAAATAACAGACTACTAGACGTTGTTTTCCAAGTTTGAAGACATTTCACTTGCCATCCATGAAGCTTTCTCGATTTTCATGTTTTCTAAGCCATAACAAGGCTTTTGTTTGAACGCAAAAGCTATTATAGTCATTTTGAATTGAGAAAGCTTTCTAGTTGGGAAGTGAAATGTCTTCACACCAAGAAAACAAATTCCAGTGGTTTGTTTTTTGACTTTTTAAATTTTGTTGAAAAGGATCGGCCTCCAATTCTACTTTTAGAGGTTCTATTACCAGCAAGTAAACCTGTAGATTAAGAGCAAAGTGCTTTGTTGGGAACATAAGGAATGATCAGATCCCTAATATAGGACAGGGATAGATCATTTAAGGCTTAAGATGTGGAAGGAGGATTCTAAATTATATTCTGGATTCATGCAGAACTCAGAAAATTAGCAGCCAATTTCACCCTTTTGCTCACACTTAAATTTAGATCAAATGCTGTACTGTTTTATTTTTTGTTACATTTTGAAATGCTCCTAATCTGTAATTAAATGATAGCTTTTTTTGCATAAATATGAATTAAATTGCACAATACTTGTGATACAACACAGTAGTCTATATGTATAGATGTCATTTAATGGAAAAACTTTATTTTCTGAGTTAATCGTCATGAATGGCCTGATTAAGTTAGTAAATTAAATTTGATTACACTGAGTTTAACGTGTTTTTTACAGTGAGAGTTGGATACAAGGAGACCAAGAGATACTAAAACCTCTCAAAAAGGTTTAGTTACATTTGTGCAAGGATCACACTGGAATGTTCTTGTTTCGTAGATTATTTTTCTATGAGCATCATTCATGCAGTTTTTTTTATATATCAGTAAGAACTGGTGAGCCACTGCTTTATGTCCAACAGGAGTGCTGTGAGGATAGATGATTCATCCATTGATGTTAGTAGAAGTAAAAATACAGCATCATCTGTATGTAGGCTATTTGAAAACCAATACTTTGACAAACATTCAACAAGTAATTGATGTACATAGAAAAAGTAAAGTTCTAATACCGAACATTGTAAAAACCCTAGAAAAGCTGACAATAAGCCTGAAATCTCTCCAAATGTTTAAATTGTGGCTTGACTGAAGCTGTTTATTTTAGAAAAGTAAAACTGTATTCATGTACTGTTAACTAAACTAAAACTATCCTGTTTTGGTAAATGGTTGAGTAATTACTTTCTCAACCATTAACCACAATTTAAATTTTGTGTTTGTTCACCCTCTGAGGGTTTCCATATTGCTAAATCATCCTTACTAAGGTCTAAAATATTTGATAATGAAATATGCATATTAAATGAATGTATCAAGCTGTTCCAAAATATTTAGCTTTTAATGTCTCATTCTTTTCTAACATTCAAAAAAATTGACCCTCAAAATGAAATATCCTCAAGTTTAGAATTTGATTTATACATTTTATTTACTAGCCGCAACACCCGAGATGTGCAAAAATGACAGCAGAGTGTTATTTAACTGACAAAAACAGAAACTGTTCAAAAAGTCAGCATGAATGTTTAAACTTATGGAGGTTGTTGGGAACAGTGATGAATATAGTCTTACAGCTGCTGGGAAACAGGATCTGTGATAATCATCCGTTTCCTGGTGCGTTTAGGGTGCAGAGAGTGTCATTTTTATAAACCCCTTAACTGATTGCATTTGTGTGATTATTTGCCTTTGTGAATTACAAAGATGGGACAAATATTCTGTAAATATTTACTCACCATTGATCTTTGTGAAGTTTTAGTCACCTCATCATAGCACTGAGACACCCCTAGTGAAATTAACTCAGACAATGGACCCCAGAAATTATTTGTCCTGCAAGTAATACATTTTTTGGTCATATTCTTTCACTGAAGGTTTAATCTAATCTTTGAATCAAGGTAACATTAGGCTTCTTTTTTTTATATCTGACTATTATGGTGTATTGTACTTACCTAAATGAAAATCTTTTTCGATCTTTGCCCCTTCAGGCTGGGTTCCCTCATTTTCTCTGATTTGCTTTGCTCCGCCTGGGTCTCATTATGTTGGGATTTGGAGGTTTGTCCACTTTCTCCACCAGAGGGCGCCTGAGATGTTCCTCCTGAGGGCATGAGCTTCTCCTGCACACCTGTTTCCTGTCTGCTCATCAGGTGACCTACTTAAGGAGGAGGAGGCTGACACTTCCCTGCCAGAGTGTTTGCCAGTAATGGTTCGCAAAACCTGAGCCAGCCTGCCTAAATCTGTAACCCTGATTTTTGAGAACCTGTCTGACCCTGTATCTCTCTGCCTCACAGATCCTGACTTTCCTGAAACCTGAAATCCTGGAGAAAGAAATCTCTGTCTGGAATCTGCCTGCCTGCACTCAGTCTTAGTCTCTGCCTCTGCCCTCAGCCCTCTGCCTGCCGACTTGCCTCTGGACTCACAAGGTTCCCCCCCCGCTGATCAGATCCATCTCTGAGCAGGTATTGTACCCCGTCATCTTTAAACTGCAAGTTTCCTGGATCAATCCTAACTGCTCTGTCCTCCTCAGTAGTTTTCCTCCTGTGACCAGTCCGAAGAACCCAGAACCCGAGCTTCACTTTTATTGTACACTTTGTAAATAAATAATTTAAACTTTTTCCCTGTCTAAAGAGCTGTTTCTGCATGTGGGTTAGACGCCTTGAACCCAACATGACACATTATCTCTCATGAGATCCACCTGTTTCTGACTCTCTATCCCAACCTGCAAAATTGTTGTAGATTCTAGAGAGACTAACTCTAGCGTTCCCTGTGTTTAGTTCTGTGTGTTTCTTGACCAGTTTCTGCCCATGACTTCTGAGCTTTGGCCGGTCCAGTTCTGCTCTGTTTTGCCTGTCTTGTGTTTTTCCGGAATCTTACCTGGATTCCGCCTGATGTCGACCTTGGACCTGTCTTCTGACCACGGCTGGATCCATTGGTTCTCATGTATGCTCTGGCTGTTGCAAGATGCTGCTCCTCTTCTCTTTTCGATCTCTTATAATGGCACCATAATCAACAACGGAGTTCCACTCCTCTGGACTTGATCCCTTTTTCTGGGATAGGACTGAACTTTGCCAGGTGCCTTTCATGGTCATTGTTGTTCCTCATTTGAGTTTTGAAGTCACTAATCTGAGCACCTCTACTCCTGCCAAGAATCCAGTGAGCTACAGCCACAGCTGGTAGCAGCCACACAACGCTGTGTCAAGGTTAGTTCAAAGGAAAAACATTTTATAGAAAAATCTTGTTTATGCGACTCATCAGCTGCGATCAGCTTACTGGATTCTCTGGTCATAAGATAAGCCCATGTCCAGAGGAAAGAGGGGAAGCCAGTAAGATGACTTCTCTGCAACATGTCGCGGTAGAGTCCCAGGAGCAGAGCAGCCAGCAGATGCTGAAGAACAGGAGGGCCCAGACGCTGAATCTAGAGCTGGTAACGAAGCCAGGGTCCAGACCAGACGATAAGAGAGATGCAGAGGTAACAAGGGGGTAATCAAAGCTGGGGTCAGGGGAAAGATCCAAGGTCGTTGACAGGCAGAGTACAAACAGCAGTCTGAAAACAGGAGACAGACAGGAACACACCGAAACAGGAGCAGAACAAAACTTAGGAATTCAGGACCAAAAACAGGTCAGGATCAAACAACAGCACAGGTACGCTAGATACTTCTCACACTTAACTTGAGTATTCTGGCACTTTGGGCTGGAAAATAGGCAGCATAAAAAGGAGATGGAAATATTTATATATTTTTAAAACAAAGCTGAGTGTGTATGATGTCATCCGCGTGTGCCGGCTACCGTTCATTCTTCCTGTCTGCTCAACTGCTGCTAGTTTTACTCACATGCCTGAAAGATGTCTATTGCTACTACCAAAGATGATCTGGAATTGAATGATTCAGATTATCCTGGGCTTCCTATTACGACCCCAGTGCAGCGCGCGGATGACGTCTTAGACGCGCTGCTTTCTTTTTAAAAAATATAAATACCAGGATATAAGTAAGATACACTACACTTAAAAATGTGCACACGTGAAAATCCCCGAGGGAAAATCCCACATCAGTCTCCTAAAATCCTGTGGGAAACACTGTGTTGTCATTCAGCAGCTCATGCATTTGACCCTTGTGTAATGTTCACACTGTTGTTACTAAGCCAGCATTTGTGGGTCTGATGGACCCGTTGCATTTTTTGGCTTTTAATGCCTCACAATCAATCTCTTTTATGTTAAAATACTGAACAGATTCATACCTTTTCCAAATTACAGGCAGTATGAACAATATATATCGTTAATATTTGCCTTTTACCTTTGTTAGGTCACATTTAAAACGTATTATTTAAAACATAATAAAGAAACTCAATTAAAATCAACATGTGAGTGGAAACAAATTTCCAAGGGAAGCAAGGTTTTTCAAAACTACTGGCTTTTATTTCGTTTGAACTTGAAATTTAATCCATTCAGGTGCACAACAAAAGCTCAACACATGAACATAATGTTAACATATCAGTCAAGACAACACATCAGCCCCTTTGAACACCTGGCCTTTAGCCACTAGCCTATACAACACATGAGGGGCAAAGCTTTACTGTGTGTGTGTTGCAGTGTTACTTTTTGCACTTGATGCATGTATACCATGTTTTCTTGTCAATCTTGGGTCGGCACACCTCGCACCGCTTCTTCTTGTTGCTGGTGTTCACAACCTAGAATAATGAAAAGATCAGGAATTTTTACAAACGCCTCTCTCTCTCTCTCTCTCTGTCTCTCTCTATCTCTCTTTCTCTCTCACACGCACATACACACACATAGACACACACACACACGAGACATGAGTGCCAGACATGCAACAGCATCACACACTTACATCAGGCTCTGCAGATTGTGGTTCTGTCAGTTGGGTGGACAGGGTGCCATATAAGTTTTCTTCTGTTAATTTGTGATCTCACCAATGCCTTTCCCAGATCCTCAAGAAAGAGCCGTCTTTTCTAGAGCTTCAATCGTTTCCACTCTGGGTTCAGTGCCATTGAAATGACAAAGGCATTGTACGCTGAGATGTCCAACATGTCAAAGAATATTACCAGTGGCCAGCGTAGAGTCCTCCGTTTGCAGCTGTAGGCTGTCACCAGCTTGTCCATGTTGTCTACCCCTCCTTTTGTGACAGTAAAATCCATGATGATCCCTGGTTTGTGATGTTCCTGTTCACAGATTCTTCCATCCCTATGCAGTGTACTAATGAGTACCACATTCTTGCCTTTCATTGGCACATAGGATACCAGGAATATGTCAGAACACTGTTTTTTTGCATTGCATCCTCAAAAGCTTGATTGAATGATTTATCGGACTGTTTTATTGACATTCCTTTTAGCACAGCTCCATCTAGTGGATGCATAACACAACCACAGTCAGGTTTGACTGCAGCTTCTATCCTATGGGCCTTATAACCCGGTGCACCCTATTTATAAAAACAGCCTTTATAAAGGCCTTTTATTGAAAGTGCACCTAATAATCCCGTGTGCTTTATAGTGCAAACAATATGGTATATATTGTCTATATATATATATATATATATATATATATATATATATATATATATATATATATATATATATATATATATATATATATATATATATATATATATATATATATACTCTTCCTCAACCAGCGTGTGCGGTCTCCCCCTTTTTTCCTCCAAGCCTGGGAGCTTCAGGGTTCTGTGCCGTATCCTTGCTGAACACTGATTTAGGGGCAGGAAACGCATCAGACAAATATACAATCCTGGGGGTCACTGCCCAGAATGCCACTGCCCAGAGTTCCTGGGATCATTACCAAGTTAAATGGTTTATTAAGAGATTACAGAATCAATGTCCACCAGTTAACTATCTATTTAAGTGATATTGCCCACTTAAATTTCTCACTCCAATGGCTGTTCAAATATGCCACTTTCTCAGTGGTGTTTCAATATGCTTCATTAAACTACATCTTCTTTCACAATAAGCAGTGAATCATTCCAATGAACATTAGTACAAATATCTAAAAACTATGAGATCTGCTTTGGCCCCTCATATCTGCTGCCACCTTATCTGAGGATGTGCTGATTGACTTCTGATCATTGTTTTGCTCCGCTGTTTACTTGAATTTAGCAGAAAAAAAAGTCCCATGGAGAATCTAGCTGCATGGTGAACAGGTACATCTTAAGGTGCTTGTTTGATAGCAGGGCTGATACAAATCTTTGAGTTTCATTTGTTCTGTAGGCCTAGACTGCTAAATAATATGGGCCGCCACATGGTCTCCTTCCAGTGGGATTATTTATTTATTAATCTGTAGCTCTTTGATGTGCTGAATGAAGGACATAGAAGTTTTTTAAGGCACACTGAAGTTCTATTGAATATATTCATCCAAATCCAACTCTTAAATGTATTAATCTTTATTATAAAACTGATTTTATTGGAACATATAAAACTTCCTTTCAAAAGTAGCTACCAAACTCCAGCAGGCTGAGATGCTATAAGTGCCAAAACGAAATATGCTAATAATTAATCTATTCCCTGTCCGTTTTAATTATTACTATGCTATATTTACCAAGGCAAGAAAAAACTGTGCTCAGTTTCTCCATATTATGTAACGGAATTCAGTAGGGATGACAGTTGTTTCTCATATTTTCATTGGGTTTTTTTCAGGTTGTAAAGTGAATAATACATGAATTCAAAATGATAATAAAAAAAAATATTTGTCAAATTTAATTAAAAGTTTATGTTTGATTATATTTTATTCGCTGCATAGATTTTATTGCCCACTGAGAACGTGCAAGCAGTGCGCAGTTGCACAAGCGCGCAGCTTTGAAGGAACATTGGCGCTCACACTGATAGTCAATAGATGGAGATCATAACCAGGTCAGCCATTGTCTGGGGTTCCCCAGTGTGCTTGAGCCCTAGGCAGTTGCTTGCTTTGCTTGCCTTGTTGCAACGGGCCTGAATGTTATGAATAAGGCCTGAGAAAGTCTGGCTTGTTATGACAATGAGTTTTTTTTTTTTTTTACAGCAAACAATCCCAAATAGAATATAACTATCTCCTTTCACTCAGACACAGTTTAGCCTTGCAGCTGTGAGTCCTGAGTGAATAAATTTAGAAAGTAATTAAAATATTAAGGAGAGATTCTAAATTTATTTTTAGATTTCACAGTCATCATGAGCAATGAAAACATTGTATTTGGTGTAAGATGGCGGGATCTAGCGGTGCTCTGATCGCTCTTGTTGCTTAAATTCACATGCATTGTGATGTCTGAGCATGTTATGATAATAAGGAGCAACTATTAGTATATATTTTGTCTTCACAAAACTACCAAATCTCGAACTTGTCTCCATACAATTAGTCAAGGCCTGACAAAACCAGACCATCACCACCCGAGATCAATCTGAAGACTGGGAAAATAACAGGTCGGAACTGTTCTAGAAACCAAAACTGGTCTCTGGACAAAGAGCGGTCTCTAGACCTCCATCTCAGTCAAGGATCAAGATCATACATGATCATGAAAAGCTGACATAATACTTAGTACATTAATCTTCTTTAAAAATAACCATTAGCAGCAGCCCATTTCTACTTGTAATGTAAGGAGTAGCTCCTACTAAGATTCTTTGCCCCAACATCAACAATGATATACCGGCACCAATATGTGTGAAAAATGTGTTGCAAAAAAGTAATAATAACATATTCCCAAGAAATGAGTCTTGTGGAAGTAAAATAAAAGAAGACTGGTCAGACTAAAGTTTGGATTAATAGGTAAAGGTGGAAAATTATAATTATAATCATAATTATAACGAAAACATACAAATTCACTTAATATGACTAGATGAAGACAGAATAGACCATACATGTATACATTATATTGTTTTCATGCTTCAAAAGTTTATTTAATGCAAGGCTAAAGAAAAGAAGGTTTTACTTAAATCACCACTTATAAAACATTCACTCTGCTCTAATCTAACTGTTGTTTATGTGTGGGTTATTCTACTGTGTTAGAAAAAAGGAGAAATTATATGAAGTAAAAGAAGAAATGGCTTTTAGAAAACAGGATTTCTATGTGGTAGAATAACTGAAAGACAATAAAGCATCCTCCACCGGTTCTGGTTCATGCTTTTTATACCAGAAAAAGGCTTCCTCTCGGACTGCTCAGACTTTCTTGGCACAGACAGATGGGAGACGTTCCCAACATCCTAAGTCATCCCAGCACTTTGGAGCTAAACAGACAAAAAAAAAATCTGTAAATATCACAGAAACCAAATCCTGTTTACAAAGAACTATGATTGTAGGGAAGCTTGATATTCTACAACCGATTTCCAAAACAAAAACACAAAGCAAACAACAATATATGCCCCTGTATTTAATCCAGTAAATGTAATAGTGTTGTAGCTAAAGTTTTACTAACATAGTTAACCTGCTAATTATTCATTACTCCTTTAACTGCTTGAAAAACATACAATGTGTGATATTTTCTTTTACCATCATGGTTCATCTCCAAACAGTGCTGTTCGCCTCGCCAATTGTTAGGCTCTCCTCGACACCAGTTTGTGTAGTAGAATTGGCTTCCATCGCTCCAAAACCAAATGCTTGTCTGAATGAAAAAACCCAGTAGATTATAAACGTCTTTCAATCATTTATCAAAATACTTAACAAATAAACTAACTAGTAAAAAAATACCTTCTGTGCATTATAGCCTCCAATCCATGTACGTCCGGACCTATAAGTTGCCGTTCTTATCACATGCCGAATCTGATGGTACTCCCTTGGGTTATGAACTGATGCCAGATGTCCCCCCATAAACATGCAGTGCCTCTGCAGACAAAAAACAGAATGATATACAAAAGTAGTAGCTGCATTTTTTTTATTAACAACCATAAAATAAGAGAGTAAAAGAGCATAAGAGCACAATGTTATTGAAAATCACCTCAGCTGAAGCCCAATTCATGGACATGGAAACATAGTGGTAGCAGTTACCGTTGTACTCAGACCAGCCAGAAGGACAAGAAGCAGATCTCTGGATCAAGTCCATTGCTTCTAAATACAAACAAATGGAGATCGCTAGTTAAAAGCAATGTATGTCAGCATTAGAATAAAGTTTATTCTTCATGATCATATTACAAAACAACACTCACTGACCTTCATCAGGAGAGCCATCAACTGGAACAGCTGTGGGCATTTTAAACAACAGGAATTAGTGAGTTTGTTTGAGTCTTAGTAACTTTACAAACTCTGTATACTTAAGAAATGCTTACGATCAGCTCCGACCCATGCCATCTCAGAGAAAACCAGGACACACAAAACCAGCAACTTCATGATGGAAGTGATGAGATGATGCAGATATACAAGCTGAAATTAATTAAAATAGGTTAGACATGTTATGAATATTTAAAGTCACCAATGAGTGAAATAGAAGAACAGAGAGTCGATCAGCAAACCTGATTCAGAATGGTTTGTTTTCTTCGTCTGCCAGGACCACCTAGGGCTCAATGTGCCATCCCAGGCTTCTTATAGTGCTACTAACCATCCCATCATCCAAAAAATAAGGAAATGACAAAGAAACTAATTCCACAGAATAAAATTACATGATCAGATCTGGTTTGTAACCTGTGTCACAATTTACCAAAGACCAGCCCCCTGCACATTACCATTTATGCCTGTCATGGCTGTGAAATTTGCATCAGCATCTGCTGATTGCCTCTGATTCCGGTTTCACGTCCCTCCTCATTCTTATCGACCTCTCTGCTGCGTTTGACACAGTAGATCACCACATCCTCCTCCACTGCCTCCAGCATTTCATTGGTCTCTCTGGCACTTCCCTCCACTGGTTTCACTCCTACCTCACTGACAGGACCGAGTACGTGGCCCTGGGGGAGGCAAAATCCAGACCTCACACTGTCACCTGTGGGGTCCCCCAGGGCTCCGTGCTCGGCCCTACCCTGTTCACCATCTACATGCTCCCCCTTAGTTGTGTCGTTGGCAGGCATGGGGTCAACTTCCATTGCTATGCTGACGACACACAACTTCACATTAAAATGACTCCTCCCAGCTCCCCCCTCCAACTCTGTGCCCCGCCTCAGCTCCTGCCTGGAGGATATAACGGCATGGATGAGTCAAAACTTCCTGCAGCTTAATGCCTCAAAAACAGAGGCCATCCAAACTGGTTCTCCTCATCAACTTTTTTCCTTTCCCCTTACCTCTATTTCATTCTATGGTCATACCATTCTCCTGTCTCCCTCTGTTACAAGCTTTGGGGTCAAGCTTGACCCCCACCTCTCCTTTGACAATCATGTCACCTCCATCTGGAAAACGTCCTTCTTTCACCTCCGTAATATTTCCAAACTCCGCCCCTCCCTATCCCTCCCTGCTGCAGAGAAGCTCGTCCACACCTTCGTCTCCTCCAGGCTGGATTACTGCAACACTCTCCTCTTCGGGATCTCTGGCAGGAGCCTTCAGAAGCTCCAGTACGTACAGAACAGCGTTGCCAGTGTCCTGATGAGGGTGAGGAAACCAGCATATCACTCCCATCCTTCACACTTTACATTGGCTCCCTATTCACGCCGGTATAGAGTACAAGTTTCTTCTGCACACCCATCACTGTGTGCACTGTGCGGCCCCCACCTATCTCACTGAACTGCTCACACCACACACCTCTTCCTGGACCCGGTCAGGCCAACAGCAACATCAGGACCCACCCAGGACACAGCTAAAAACCATGGGCGATAGGGCCTTCGAAGCCGCAGCTCCCTGTCTGTGGAATGCCCTCCCAGACCACCTTAGGGCCCCACAGATGGTGGATTGTTTTAAGAATGGACTAAAAACGTTCCTTTTTAGAAATGCCTACAATTGTTGATTTTAGGTTATTTAATAGGCTACGTATGCCTTTTAATGTATTGATTTTAATGATTGTCTTTTTACTCTGTTTTTAATGTTATGGTCTTTTACACTTGTTTTAATTTTCCCTTTTTTTAAATGTAGCACTTTGTGGTGTCTGAGCCTGTTTACGTGCAGTTTAGGAAGCCATGAGCATTCTGCAGGATCTGAGTCACAAGGTAGCTCACATTGCCTCTCAGCTTCCCACTCAAACTCCCCCGGAAACCCCAGCAGCAGTGAGTAATCCTCCTTCTCAGGCTCAAGCACACCCCCCACCTATGGCTAGAGAACCTTTTGTTCCACCCCCAGAGAATTACTCAGGTGATTTTGGTTCCTGTAGTCATTTTCTGTTACAGTTTTCCCTGGTTTTTGATCTGCAACCATCCAGCTATCCTGATGATCGCTCTGGAATTGCTTATGTTATCAATCTACTTAGAGGTAAGGCTAGTCAGTGGGCGACTGCTTTATGGGAAGGGGGATCAGGGGCTCTTCAGTCTTATGAAGATTTTACCTCAGAGCTACGCCGTGTTTTTGACCATCCTGTTAAGGGTCGGGAGGTCAAAAAGAGGTTGTTAAGCTTACGTCAGGGGATTGCCTCAGAAGCTAGCTTTTTCGATAGATTTTCGTATCCTAGCCGCTGAAAGTGGATGGGACTTCAGGGCGTTGCGAGCTGTGTTTGTAAATGGTCCCTTATCCAGATTAAGGATGAGTTAGTTTCCCGTGAAGAGCCTAGCTCATTAGATGAGTTAATCTCACTGGCAATACGTATAGATAACCGTCTGAGGGAGAGGACTAGAGAAATGACTGACAAGGCTCGAGTAGCTGCCGCTTTTCCTCTTTCCCTTTCCCAAACTGTGCCTCGTTCTAGTCCGCCAGTTAACCCCCCGAGTTCCAATAGTTCTTTGTCTGGCTCGGAAGAGGAGCCCATGCAGGTTGGGCGGGCTCGTTTAACCCCTGAGGAATGCCAACGGCGGATGCAATCTAAACTCTGCCTTTACTGTGGCCAGACTTGTCATTTCATTGTTGCCTGCCCTCACACCCCAAAGGACCGGGCTCATCAGTAAGGGAGAGTGCCCTGGTGAGCCAGACCAGTTCAAAACCTAGCTCTCCAACTCATATTAATGTGTCTGCATCTCTTACCTGTGCAGGGATAACTCTACCCTGTCTTGCTCTAGTGGACTCAGGAGCAGACGACAATTTTATTGATATTGAGCTGGTTAATCAGCTGCAAATCCCTCTCGAGCCTCTCGAGAAACCCTTGAATGCTAATGCGCTAGATGGCAGACACTTGGCCTCCATAACTCATCAAACTAAACCCATTTCCCTAGTTATTTCTGGCAACCACTGGGAAAAGATTCAGTTGAATGTGCTCCCCTCCCCTGTGTCCCCTGTGGTCTTAGGGCTCCCTTGGTTAAAACTTCATAATCCCCATATAGACTGGCAGACTTCCTCCATCATCAGTTGGAGTGTACATTGCCACTCTTACTGCCTCCATTCAGCTTTTCCCACCTCTAGCACCCTACCATCTCAGCCACATGAACCTCCCAATGTTTCCAGTGTCCCCTTAGTTTATCATGACCTAGCTGTGGTCTTTAGTAAAGATCTCGCTCTTTCCCTTCCACCCCATAGACCATATGATTGTGCTATCGACCTCTTCCCTGGTGCCAAATATCCTGTCAGCCGTCTGTATAACCTTTCCCGGTCTGAGAAAGAGGTCATGGAGCAGTACATTAACTCCTCACTAGAAGCAGGCCTTTTCCGTCCTTTTTCCCTGTTAGGTGCTGGATTTTGTACTGTCTGCCGGCTTCCGTAGCGTCGTGAACGCGCATGTGCGCGCTTTCAGGAAATCCTATACACTACTGTTTATGCTCTAAAAACATTCTAAATGACTTCGTTTCGAGTAAATTCTGGATGCTACCCACTCAGGACACTTGGAATACATTGGACGAGCAGTATGGAGGAATATTGACACGTTTTTTGTGGACTTTTATGGACCTTTCTGCCTCGGGCGCCATGGACCTCCATTATTTGAATGTCAGCAGACAGCAAGAAGCCTCCCAGATCTCCAGATGCCTTTGAGATATCAAAAAAGTACTCCAGAGTGTTGTTCAGCATGGGGGTGAGTAGAAAATGAAGGCTAATCATGTTTTGGGTGTACTATTCCTTTAATCTTACCTGTGCTCTGTCTACCCAGGATCCAGCTCCAGATCTGTCTCCAGCTAGCAAGCCACACCACCCACCTCCCTCTACTCCAACTGCTGCAGAGAGCTTGTCTGCCACCTCCAACTGCCCCTGCTTCCAGAGACACCTTCCTTCACCGTCAGCCTGTGAACCAAAGACTAAACTTTGTACCTTTCTCCTAGCCTGGCTGTCTGCATTTTGGGTCCAGCACCTAGCCTTCAAAACTTTGAGATTTGAAGTCAAATTTAAAGTGTGTTATAAATAAAATCATTATTATTATTAACAACTCTGTGAGAACTTTTTTGTAAAAAGTGGGGTCTAAAGGCCATTTGTGGCCCTCTGGGACTTTTCTGTAGCTCTGATTGCAATAACAAAATGTTTAAATTAGGTTTACCATTGATACACATTTAAGAAATATGTTAGGGTGTTAATATGATTTAGGAAATAATGCAGGGAAATTACATTCCCCCTACAATCCCTCACACATGTGAGGTGAAGCACACATTTTTGACCTTCTTTCAGTCATATATTTGCTTGTGGTTTCATTCAGTTGCAAATGCAACAAAAATCCAGTGGCATTCATAGAAGAACTAATTTGTCTTTTGGGCTGATTTAATAAAGTCAGAGAAATGAATCGAGATAGTGCCATGTTCTGAAAAGACACACAAAATATGGAAATTGAAAAATCAATCTATATTCCTCGTTTTTTTTTTTTTTTTTTTTTTTTTTTTTTTTTCATTTTCACCAGGACATCCAAAATACTTTTGTTTCAATTTGCAGATCCCTGCCTTAGCATTTTATCTGAAACGCTTAGGGCTGTTTAAATTCAATGAAAATTGGCTTTCCAGCCAACAGTTTTTTGCATGTCTAAAACCAGTACCAGGGAATGTATATGAGGTAGAGGGTATTTTGTGCAAGAAGTCATTCAAGCTCGTCATGATGGGAATCAAGGCATTCGAGTTCAACATGCAAAGCGTGAAACACAACTTGTCAACCTTAAGTTGTCGAGAAGCAGCAGATATTTCTCAAATCTGTTCCAACCTTGTCTCTGCAATGCCTCCATTGCCATCTCCAACATCAACAACAGTGCCAGTTGCACCAAATCTCTGAATAATATTTGGTGGTACACCTACAATGCAAGCAGAGCTATAGTGGACTTTCTTCTTTTATGGAAAGTTTTTAAACATTTGAACCTGGAGAAGACAGTATATCCTGGATGAACCCATACCTCCTGTGGTGCATCCTTGCAGGAAAATCCCATACAATCTGTGGAAAAAAAATTAACTGTGAACTGGTGCTCATTGAAAGGCTAGGGGCTCATCAAGAAAATACATGAGTGAATTAAAAGGGTCAGCTCACTGATGGTTGTGCAAAAACAAAACTGGGACAAAACAAATGAAGAAAGAGACAAATGCAGTTGAAACTATGAAAGAACTCAAGAGCATAATACAGAAATGATGGCCAGAAAAAAAAACAATTGTCCCACAAAGATACAAGACTACTGGAACTGCAGAGCAGAGCTCACTGTGGTGAATGAAATAGTGTTGAAGGGGAGGAAATATGTTTTTCCTTCTTCACTACTTCAATCAGATGCTCCAAAAGATACACGTGGGTACCTGGAAGAAGTCAAGTTTAAACGTATGGAAGTAAATATGTGCCATCAGAATTTGAATAAAAAATACCTCTGAAATTTGAATGTTGTATATTAGTGCTTACTTTTTCAGTATAAAAATAAATTCAGAATATATTTTTAACCTAAAAAAAATTCAATGTCATTATTTGTACATGTAAAAAAAATTCAGTGTAATTTTTTTTACATGGTTGCAATTTTCAGTTATTAAAAAAATTCACATTCCTATTTCAAAGTGATCAAATTTTCAATATACATATTTTTCACAGTTTAAATTTTCATTGTTAAAAAATTCAGCATATAAAAAATTCAACTTTTCAAAATTCAAATGCAATATTTTCGTTGTCCTCCAATTCAACTTGCTCAAATTCACTGTCTCAAATTCAGCGTCTAAAAATTCGCTGTAAAAATGTCCAAGGTTACTTCAGGTCACAGACATTAGCAATGGATGTCCGATTCCAACATCCACCTAATCACGTGACACAACCGTGATATTGAAGAAGTACCAGTATCAGCCAGGCTGGCGACCATGGAGGCCAACTCAAACCCAACGGTGAGTTTAATGCTTTCATATTTCTGTAGTATATTTTATTTTGCGCATGAAGTTTGATACATTATCTTAAAGACTGATTTAAAACACTGGTTTGGGCCGTTGTTAATCTTACACTGTGTAGTGCCGACATATTACTTCTTGCTACCTCCGAGCACCCCCCCCCCCCCCCCCTCCCCCCCAAAATTCCCCCGTTTTTTCAAAAAGAATCTTTAAAGAGAACTGATGGGTGGTGACTTTCTGGGTTGTTTGTATGTTGCTTAGGTGAGACTGAGACAGGCAGTCTTAGTAAAGTCGTAATTTTCCAGGAGATGCTACCGCTAATGTAGTAAGCTCACCCCAGGCTCACACCAACTCCGGTCTTACCGTTGCGGTGCGGTGGGTGTGGCGCCGCAGTGATTCCAAGTCATTAAAAAGACGTAAACCTCTCTCACCGGCTGCTGAGCTGTCCGGCTGCGGTTACCGAGACACTCCGGCGCTGCAGAAAATTCCGCAAGAAAGCTATCCTTGCGGCGTGCCGGAGCCCTCCGCAACAAGCACTCGCAAAAATCCTTTATTTGGGCCGTGTTATCGCGTGAAGTTACGTGAACTCAAGTGAACTTCTGTTAAATCTCCGGACCTGTTGCCGGAGCCGCAGAGCAGCACCGCACCGTAGTTAAAAGGGCGGTGTGAGAGGGGGTGTGCGGGAGTTGCGGTCTCCGTCGGCTCGGTAACCGCACCGGAGCCAGTGTGAGCAAGGGGTCATATGGCTGCCTTGTGTGCTTCAAAGAGGGGCTGTGAACAGTTCCGACTCCACTCTGATCAGCTACTGTATTGTTAGGTGACTTCATTTATGAATTAATTAAGAAATTTATGGTCATTACAACCTCATTCAAAATATTGCTTCTCTTATCTGACAAATGTTGATATACAATATTAATTTACATTCTTTTTACTTTGTGGTTTAAAACCTCCTTCTGTTACCTAGCAACACTATAAACAAACCCCTTTGTTTATTTCAGTTGATTTTAACTTATTTTCAAGAAAATATATGCTTGTAAGTACATCTGTTAACTTATTTTCGATTAAATGTAATAATTTAATTTATATTACTGTGATTTCTCAATACTGACCAACTGATTTCAAAATACTTTTTTATTTTACGGACATTTTTTTTAAACGTTTTTTTCTTTTTTCTCTTTTCAAGGAACTTTTGCTGGATCATATTTTTGATAGGCTCCGTGATCGTTTGGAGCATGTTCTTGAACGTATGCCCCTGGATCTGGATTTTCTAGACTTTATCTGCACTCAAGAACTAGTTTTTTTAAATGCCATGTCTTGTCAGATAGATGTTCCTTCAATTATTTTGGATGCGCTGGCTCATTTGCACGGACTAATTAATTTAGAAAAACAAAGTGAAGAACAACAAACAACTGTTGTGCATATGGAGCAAGGACCAGCTGGGCGACAACGGATGGTCATATCCTCAGACTACCTTTGCAGTCTTTTAGAACTCAATCTCCCTGTCCCATGCATCGCCAAACTCTTGGGTGTATCCAGACGGACTGTATATCGACGGATGGCAGAGTCTGGTCTTTCAGTGAGGGCATTATACACCACCATGTCAGATGATGACTTAGACCAATGTGTGAGAGACATTAAATCCAGGCAGCCTCACTCTGGGTACCGAATGGTAAAGGCCCTTCTGCAAGCCAGAGGACTGAGGGTGCAGTATGATAGAGTCAGAGCATCCATGCATCGTGTAGACACCATTGGAATGGCATCACGTATGGTCCAGCTAGGATGCATAGCTCGACGGACGTACTCAGTTCCTGGCCCTCAGTCTTTGATGCACATTGATACCAACCACAAATTAATACGGTAAATCATTTATCTTTTTCAGTGAGGGGCTTCTAACTTTGAAGTATGCTTGTTAAATAGATTCAACTAATGTAGCATTTTTGTTCTTTCATAGCATGTCATATACCTTTTGGAATTAAAAGCCCAGCTTTTTCAGCATTAAAAGCACAGCTTTTTCAGCATTATATACAGTGGAGTATAAAATATGTCCACAACAGCCAGAGTTCTGTATGTTGTGCTTCAACATAGCCAAACATAAGCAGTACCTGATCTGCCTCTGCAGACCTTGCTTCAAATTAAATAAAAAAAAACTTTCCTTATTCCAAAGGGAAATTAAATGTTGTAACTCATTAATTTAGCTTATTCAATGAGTTATTGCAGATGGTGATGGCAGGAAAGATCTCTTGTAGTGTTCTGTATCACAGTCAACCTAAAGAAGCCTTTGACTGTAAACACTATTTTCTCAGGACACTCTCATGAAGATGTTGTCAGGGTCAGGGTTGTCCAGCATTTTCTATTGAAGAAGAATCCGTCTTTGCACAAGTATCTCCAGAGGTTCCACATTTGTCCCCAGAACAGAACCAGACTTTTTTATCAGGCTGTTGAGCCTTTTTAGGTCTGTGGTTCTGATGCTGCTGCCCCAACAGATGACGGCTGAAGAGATGAAGCTCTCAACACAAAGTGATAGAAGATCTGCAGCATCTTCCTGCAAACTTTGAAGGAACTTAGCTTCCTCAATAAGTCCCTGCCCCTTCTTACAGAAATTCATAATGCAAGAGAAGCAAGCCTTTTTAGTGACAGTATTTAATCATAATGATGATATATTTTCTGTTATTTTTAGGTACAACATTGTTATCTTTGGTGGCATTGATGGTTTTTCTCGAAAGGTGCAGTATCTTCTATCAATGCATAAATGCAAAATTTCATAAGCTATGAAGTTGACTGTTACATTTTTGCTGTGTTGTGCAGATAATGTATCTTGGTACAGCTCCCAACAACCGGGCATCTACCACACTGGCTTTCTTTCAGGGCTCAGTGGAGGAGTTTGGTTTCCCCCTCAGGTAAAGGTTTACAGTCCATCTTAATCCTTTTGAGTCAAGGAAGAAAGATTAAAAGTCAGCATCAACTAACTTTTCTCCAAAATATAGGAGCTTGTTATATATCATTAGGTTTTGAGTAATGGTGGAAAAAGTGAAACCTTACAAGAACAAGACATTTTCCAATGTTATAACTTAGAATTTTGGAGTAATATCTAGTTCCACTGTCAGATTATATCGCTTATAGCTATTACTTTTTCATCAATATTAAGAACTTTTAGACTTAAAAGGAGCTTGCTGAAAAGTTACTTGTAAGTTAGTTTTGTCTTGTCTCAAGTGTCCTAAGACATATGTGCAAAAAACTATTCCAGGTACTCGGTAAGATTTTTCACTTTTTGCAGTGAGAGTCCCTGTAGCTGCAGTTGGTTCTCACACTTAAGATTAGTATACACTGGCTTGCTTTCTGTTATAGAACCAATTTTGAAATGTTGCTGTTCGATTATAAATCTCTAAGATGTATAGGGCAAAAATACATTTCTGAATCCACTAGGACTCTGTAATCAAGAGTTAGAACCAAAAGGGAACAGCTTTCATCCATTATGCTTGTAATCTGTGGAATATATTCCATGAATTTAAACTTTAAGTAATAATTAAAACTCTATGTACTGTTGTATTTCAGTAACTTACCACTAGGTACTGCATTGTAATGCATCTGTTTTGTCAAAGCACATTAAAATGAAATGTGCTACACAAAAAAAAATGTCCCTGTCTAAGGACAAATATTTTCAAAATTTACATGGAAAGTGATCAAAGTTTTTGTTTTATTATATGCAATATTGGGTTCAATGTTCATCTTCTGAAAACTCAGGTACAATTAAAATCCCCCGCTATTGTGTATATTTTTGGTTACAAAGAGTGTTTGAGCTATGCAAAAATTTGTCATTAATGTTGTAATTATAAGCAACTTATAAATACTTACACACTTATTTTAGGGTACGTGCTGATCAAGGGGTGGAAAATGTGGACGTGGCACGACTTATGTTTATGATTCGTGGAACAGGAAGAAGCAGTTTCATATCTGGGAAGAGTGTGCACAATCAAAGGTTTGTACAAATGACAAGTTTCAATATGTGATGTTTTGCAATGTTTATAGTAACATTAGCTTTGTGTGGTCTTCAATATGACAAGATTTGAACCGTTTATTACTCTATAATTGAAGGATTGAGCGACTGTGGAGAGATCTGTGGACGGCTGTAACGTGCATCTACTATGATGTGCTGCACTACCTAGAAGAGGGATACCTGGACATTTCAAATGAAGCACACCTCTTCTGTTGCCATTATGTCTTCCTGTCACGTCTGCAGGAAGATTTGGATACTTTCCGCAGTGGCTGGGACAATCACCCACTTCGAACGGAAAGCAACATGACACCTAACCAGCTCTGGGTTCTTGGTCGTACACATAATCCAATTCCTGAACCCCATGGTGCCTTGACAGAGGTACGTTTTAATTGGACAATTTAATGTGTAGCATGTCTACTACCATTCACCTAATTTGTAATATCTTAAATAAATTTTGAGTTGTCTTGATCCCTTCTTTGTGTTTTTCAGGGTGTACAGATTCCCGAAAACGAATGGGAGGACAGCGGGCTTCCTCTTCACGAGGAGTCAAATGTCACAGTACCAAACTCTAATTTGCCACTGACTGACGAACAAATGGCAGCCTTAAGAAATGCAGTAAACCCGAAAGCCACATCACTGTCTTTTGGATGTGACATTTATATTGCTGCAGTTCAGTTTTGTGAGCAGTTTTTTACTGTGTGAAAGTTATCTTACGGGAAAAACACATCACGGTTATGATTAGTTACTTATATACAATCATATGTTAAATATGGTAAGCATAATTTTCACAGAATTTAACTTGTACATAATTGAAAAAAATGACATAAAAAATAAATGCAAAGCATGATTTATTTTTTGAAGAATACTTAACAGGATCTAGTTTTGTCTTTTTGCCACTATCTTGGCTTCTGTTGATTTTGGTTGCTCGGTTATAAACAGCCCTTTGCCGTTATTCAGCTATTGTACTGTTCAATAAAAATCTGAAAATAAAATGTTCAGCAAATACATCTGAGCCTCCGTTATAATCGCCTTTTAGCCATTTCCTGAATCAGAAGCTACAATCGTAGGCCAACTTCAGCTTCGATCCAGAGACTTAGGATCGCCACCACAGCTACAGGATCAGACTGACGTCTCCTTCTGTGCAGTCCTGTTGAGGTTAGGATCCTGCTCAGTGTGCACGCTATTAATCGCTTCCGTACCAGTTTAAAAATTCACCATTTATGAAATGTAAAGCAAAATTCTGATCATGTTACCACAGAGGTGAATTTTAGTGCTCTTATGGTAAACATGTTAAAGAACTAAAATGTTCTAAATTTGTAATTTTTTTCCTTACTCAATAGGACCCATTAGGTACATTGTTGTAGGACTTCACATTTCTTGCATTAAAAGAATCAGAAAAAGGTTTGTCTTATATAATTTATTTTCTCATACTTGAAGCATATATGAACATTCAAGTGCATTCAAGTACTAAGTACATTCAATAAATGACATTCAATTTTGCATAAAAAACTATTTCACTTTAATATTTAAAACTGCCTGTACAAACAGTACTGACTTAGACTTAAATGAAATATCTACTCTGAACATTTGAATTTGAACTTGAATTTGACATAACTACAGGAAGTGGAGTAACAACAATGTCACTGAGTAATACAAATGATTACATTTAAACATACAGTACAGACCAAAAGTTTGGACGCACCTTCTGAAGGTGCGTCCAAACTTTTGGTCTGTACTGTATGTATTGAACTTGTGATCTAACAAAAATCAGAAAACTGAATTGATTCAATATTTCAACAGAACTGTTCTGTTTAAATAAAGCTGCTTCACAAAGAACTACAACAGCTTAAGTGTAGATTTTTTTTTTTAACAAGTCGATCACTCAGAGCAAGCCAAATCCAGATTGTGTAGAGGAAATGCATGCTAAGAAGTCCTCACTGAATGACTTGTAATTCTTGTAATGACAGGGAAGTCTTAGTGTTTCATAGCATGTGGCAGCTGTTGGGTAGGTCCCATGAACAATCTCCACCGACAGACTTGATGGCAGATTTTCCCAACCGGTCCAGAATTTCATCATCTCTTTCAGTTCAGGTGGTGTGGCTTTGGAAGAGAGCAAAGCCACAATCACACTTTCAAATCAATTCACCATATATCTGCAACATATGGATAACTTTGTATGTTCCAAAGACAAAAGTAACTGGAGCCACATGTTGGGATAGAGCTGGACTACACAGAGAGAACACACAAACATGCATGCAATTCAACTGTTTGAATTTTGAGCTAAGCTTAAAACTGAATTGTGAGGTACCACTGCAAGCAACTAAGAAAAAAATTCTACATGGATGCTTCATTGAAAAGTCATCTGAAAATCTCCAATCAGACACTGGTAACATTACCATTTGCAATGAACTGTTTCAGATATCCTGAAATGCGGCATCTGGTTTCCTTTGAGCAGTCATCATCTTCATCACTTTCATCATCCATTTCTGGCCAAGTGATATGCTGAAGTACCACCTAAGCATAGTAGAAAAAAGTAATTGTTTTATGTTTAACAGAAGTTTGTGAAGAAAATGTGTTATATAAAAGGAATTACATTAAAATAACAGATGCAACACCATAATTCCAGTTATTTAAATATACCTCTGGACACAGGGACGCTTCCTCCCTTGGAAAAAGCAGGGGTACAGCATCAGGTCGCCGAGTTACCAGGGACCATATTGGGGTTTCTTTCAAACCTCGTCTAAGTTGCTTTATTTGTCTTGCAACGCGTCCAAGAACCTATTTTAGAAAATGGTAATAGTTTATTTCTAAACAACTAATTTCATTACAGTCATTATGCTGCTCTGGTAATTGAAACTAATAACAGGGATCAAAGCGGTATACAGTAAAACACAATGTATATAAAAATTGTAATTCATGTGACACTGAAGATATGACAATCTTTACAATTAACAACTAATGTAAAAAGATTAATCTTTAAAAGTGAATAACTTGAGTTTTGCAAGACATCTGAGAAAGTATGAGACTGTTTCTCAGGATAGGAGCTTAAACTTAAAAAGTTGTCATTTGTCTGTTAGGCAATCTAAAGAAATTGATATAAAACAATTTGTTTGAAAGATTCTACCTCTTACCTTTGATTATGTTTATAGAAAACACTTTAGATAAATTGGTGCCAGACTATTTATAAATGTGAAAACAATGGTAAACCTGAACAATTCTTTATGCTTCTGTGTATCAAAATTGGATTTTAAATAAAATGTCATTTAAAACATAAGTTAAAGAAAAAAAATACATGCAGTAGAAATGAATGCTGACTCACTGCATGGAGTAACAGCTTCTCAAAAAGCCACTTCCTATTGTTCTCTGATGGGCAAGGAAGGTCCCATGAATATGCCAAGCTCTGTACTCTTTCCATTTGAGTATCAGAGAGCCTGGATTCTCCCTCGAGCTGCAAAAGACATCGCAAAGAACTCAGAGGGGAAAAAAGCAGAAAGAACTGGAATAGTGTAATACACATAAAATTCTATTTTTGTGAATTGGGGGGCATACAGTACTGATGGTTTCCCTGATGTCTAGGTCTGGGCAGTCCTCCAGGGTGACAGTTGCTGTTTCTGGACTGCCGCCAAGTAAAACATGAATAACAGCAGGACTAAGTCCTGACAGGCGTGGTCCTCCATGAAGGAAAGAGTGGCCTATCATTCTGCCAGCCACTAAAAACATGTCACTTTCAACAAGAAAGTGAGAGGCTGATGGGACCCAGTGGCCAGGTTCTCCTTCGAAAAGTCGTGTAACAATGGAGTTTCCTGTTCAATAAATCAACAATATAAGAAAATAAGTAATACAGATGCATAAAGACCAATGTTTAACCCTATACTGCCTCACCTATATTTTGGCTACACAGTAATGATTTCATTAAAGCTACAGTGTGTAACTTTTAGTGACATCTAGCGGTCAGACTGCAGACTGCAGCAGCATGAACATCTCCCCCCCACCACTTCTCCCCCCCAACAGTACGGCGAGCGTTACGGGACAAAATGTCTTCCACGACGTCCGCATCACCTACCTTCTCAAGTGATGAGGTTTGTTTACATAGATAATTTTACAGATAGTATTTCATTAGTCTGTGTAGGGTATAGATTTCATTTAGACTTAAGATAATAAATATACCCGTTATTTTTTCTACATCGTTGTGACGTTTTGGCGATCTCGCAATCACTAGTTTGTTGGCTCTGCGCTGCCGTAGCGCAAAGATGTCTGCCTCCATGGCTGCGAGACCCGCTCCTATGTAATTATAAATAACGAATTCTAAGGCAACGCAAATATTAAGGTTAAGAGGCTGAGCTCGTAGATGATGATAAATAACATAGTTATGTTAAATATATTACATTTCGGACTGTATATCCCTGTAATTATTACACACTGTAGCTTTAATTTTTAGAAATATTGTACCTTCTTCATATCAAAATTTACAACAATACATGAAACTTGAAGTTTAAGTTATCATGATTAACTAACAATGAGCTTTTACACATGACAGATGTTTGTGTAATATAAAGTGAACACAAATGACATACCAAAGTTTATAGAAAAACCTGACTTCAATTTTTCCAGTACGGTTGAAAAGAAAAAGCGGTTTACACCTTGTCCCACAGCAACATCTCCTGCAAGGTAAATGATTTGACAGGTCAAACATACTTTGAAATGCAAACGTGTAAAATTTGTAATTTTTAATTACTTTACCTTCAAGCCTACAATTAAGGGGGCATGCCCATTGCACATTTGGTCGCTTATAGAAAGAAATCAGAGCCATGTCTTTTGCTGCAGGGCTGTCTCTTAAGTCCATCTTCAACAGCAAGGGGTTCTCCATTTCATGCATTTGGAGGAAATGGTCTGCACAGCGAGAAATGGCCTTTGAAGCATCGCTTATGGTATACCAGTCTAAGAGGGGGAAAAAAAATAAATTAATATAGTTATAGGAAAAAGTTTAAATTTGACATGGGCATCAAAAACCAAAGTAAGGTCACAGTAAAAAAATAAAATCATAAAATGTAACTTATTTTTTCAGAAGTGATCAATACCAAGTAAGCATTAGAACACATGCCAAATTGGAAGACAATTTCTGTTTAGCTGAAATCAATGCTTGTGACTACCATTATTCGTGTCTTAAACAGATCTACATAAGCGCTAGCTTTCAACCACACTGACCATCACTGCCTGAAGAATATGATGTAGATGGCCCAGGCATTGTTTCATTCACTTCTTCTGTGGAATGAGGTCCTGTACTACTGAGATAATATTCATTACACTTGCTTTAGACAAAGAAAACCGTGTTGATAAAATTATTATATAAGGTAAATACCTACATTTCTCCACAAGAAGAAGCATGTACTTCTATGTCCTCAGTAGGAAACGTTTTTGCACACACCGGACACTCTTGCATTGCTGCTGTCACAAAGTAATTGGGACATTGTTGTAGTGAAGCAGACATCTAAAATGCCACTGTATGATATGCAAACATTTAAACATTTCTTACATATGTCCTTTGCAGGGTTACAAACATCAACACCAGCCACATCAGAGGGCAAGTCTGTTTCCACACAAGACTTTATGTGGTCAGTCAAAAAATGCAAGGGAACATCTACTCTGCATTTCTGACACATGGCCTTTGGCATGTTTGCAAATGCCTCGTCATTCAGCTCAAGAGGATCTGTGCAAAGTTGTTCCTGAATAGGGACTATGAACAGGGTTTTCCCGCCGCGACTCGCACCCTTCAACATTGTCCCGGTATAGCCATCATCTTCAGGACCTATCAAGGTCAAATTGCGTCTTCCCCATCCACCTACAAGAAACTGTGCATTATGACTTTGCTTCAAATCAAAGCACAATATCAATTTACTTGACAACCGCATTCAGAACAACATTTGCTGATGAAAAAGGTATTCCTATAATTACAAACATTTAATTTTCAATGTTCCATGTTTTGTAGGGTAAATATATCATCTGCCCACTTGCTCTTTCATGGATGCCTTTCGTAATTAGCTGTTCTACTGCAGCAGAGAGTCTATAGATGGCATGTAAAAGAGTCGCCTTTTAGTCCTTCAACGTTGTGTGCATACGCTAAATTTAAGGATATATGCAATAACATACAGGGAATCCGTAGATATGGGTTAAATACAGCCATTGATGGGACCAGGAGAGCATTTTGGATGGGGTGAGGGAGCCTCGGATTGTTGCTCTGAGACAAAAACTGGTGTAGCTCTATT